ATTAAAAATCTATGCAAGCCCGGCCAGTGTGGCTCAGTTTGTTGAGCATCGTCCTGTGTACCAAGAGGTCCCAAATTCTGTCAGGAGACATGTTAGGATTTTGGGATCAACCCCCAGGAAGGGGCGTGCATGAGGCAGCGGATCGATGTTTCTCTCTCATCGATGCATCTATCTCTTTCCCTTCTCCCTTCCTTTCTCTCTAGAAAAAAACCAATGAAAACATATTTTAAAAAATATATCCTAAAGAATTTAAGGATGAGAAAGAAGGAGAAAAGGAAGAATACAGAAAGGGAAGGAGAAGACAGCAAGAGAGGAAGGGGAAGAACATGGGAAAAGGAACAAACTGAAAATTCAAAATGAAATATCAGACATAGCCCCACCGGGCGTGGCTCGGCGGTTGAGCATCGACCTAGGATCCAGGAGATCGGGGTTTGATTCCCGGTCAGGGCACATGGCCGGGTGGCAAGCTGGATCTCCAGCCAGGGGCGTGCGGGAGGCAGCCAATCGATGATGGCTCTCTCAGCATTGATGTTTCTATCTCTCTCTCCCCCGTTCCTCTCCCTGAACTCAATAGAGATATATATATATATATATATATATTAAAAAAAAAAAGACATAAATTCCAATACATTTTTATAATCAACACAAAAAGATAAAACTACAAGATAAAAACAAATTATCGAAAAGGATTTTTAAAAAGCAGCCATATGCTATTTAGGTATTCCTAAAGTATAAGAAAAAATAAAGGTATAAAAAAATGATTAATTGTGAGACAATGTGAAAAGTTGCACATATCAACATACATAAATCTAAGAAAAATAATACAGAGCAACACTCAAGTCTCAGAAGAATGCAGGGGAGATGATGCCATTTACATAGAGTTGAAGAGGATATGAAACCAACATATTAAGAATACATATTTGGTGAAACTGTAATAAAAAGAAAAAAAAGTGGTTAAGTCCAAAATTCAACATAGTGGTCACCACAGGATAGTGGGAGAAGGCTATGTAGGATTAAGGAGGAACTCATGGAAGCTTCAAAGGAAACATTCTATACCTCAGCCTCATTAAGTGGGTACTTGTTTTACTGTTATGATGAATAGCCTTTATTTACAGGGTGTCCCCAAAAAATGCATACACACTTTAATAGCTGATAGCTCAATTTTGAAAACGAAATGTATTTTAATAAACACTGTCTTTATAATTATTCAAAGTGTGTACACATTTTGGGGGGGACACTCGATATGTTTAAAGTTTTATAAAATAATTTTTAAGTAAGTCAAAGTATTAGTAATTTCTAAATTTTGGTCTTAATTTTTTCTTCAATTCATATTGATGCCAATGAATACATTGATTACATTGCTTGTCACAAGCCTTTCTGTTTCTTTCATCTCAAGTGAGGCACATGGCACTAAACATACATCAACACCAAAGTTAAGCTCCTCCACTGGTTTTGTGTTTTAAAGGCCAGAAAAAAAGAAAAACGAGACCCTGGCAGCATTGCTCTGCAGATGAGCATTTACCTATGACCCAGGAGATCATGGTTCAATTGCGGGTCAGGGCACATGCCCAGGTTGTGGGCTCAATCCCCAGTAGGGGGTGTGCAAGAGGCAGCTGATCAATGACTCTTCTTTGATGCTTCTATCTCTCCACCTCCCTCTCCCTTCCTCTCTCTGAAATCATAGATATATTAAAAAAACAACAACAACACAAAAACTAGTTTTCAAACATAACACTGTTTAAATGGAATACTGACATGCTAAGGCTGCTAACCGGCTTTGCAGTAAACAAATATATTTTAATTATAAATTTTTCTAAACTGATTTCCTGGAAGTTATTTAATCAAACCTAGTCCCAAAACCTCCATAGAAATCATAACAAAAATATAACTTTAGTCCAGTCAGCATGGCTCAGTGGTTGAGCATCAATCCATGAACCGGATGATCGAGGTTCTATTCCCAGTTAGGGCACATGCCCAGGTTTCCGGCTCAGTCTCCAGAAGGGGGCATGCAGGAGGCAGCTGATCAATGGCTTGCTCTCATCATTGTTGTTTCTATCTCTCTCTCCCTCTCCCTTCCTCTCTGCAAAATCAATTAAAAAGAATTTTTTAAACATAAATTTAGCAAGAAAATATTTCTTGTAAACTTCAAAATGTTAACCATGAGTAAAGGAAAATAATGCCTAAAATCACAAAACATAAAAACCTAGTAAGACTGAATTTTCTGAGACAGAAATCTTATCCTTGACAGCTGCATCAAATTGAGAAAATGAAGATGCATTCTATAACTACTTTGCTCTGTGCATAGATGGGTATGGACTAAAATGTTTGATATCAATCATAATGATGTTAGTGTCTACCTTTTTACGTTTCCACCTCAACGTGCTTGATAGCTTAAATGTAATTGCTGACTATGTCAAGATCCACTAAGAGTAATATTTGATAATATGAAGAACTTACTCTCTTCTCTAGTGTTTCAAAAATAAAGCAATTTTGTCTTTAGCATAGAGGTGTCACGAAGAATATTGAATAGTCAATAAAACTTCAAGCAGAACTTTGTGATCTTCAAATCAACTCTTCATGAAACAAGGCAAATAATCTGGTATATAATGCAATGGCTTTTACATAATTCACCATCTAGATAATAAAAGGTTGGCGTGGCTCATAACGGTTAGGCAGAGTTTCAGAAATTGATGAATGGCTCTAAAACATTGCCTATCAGCTTAGTGTAAAGGGAGTGGCGCCTCCTACCTTTTCCTTGATTTTTGATTTAAATAAATCCTGATCCCAGCATTGGAGAGCTATCATTAATCAGGTCACTTGTTTTTCAATTTTATCCGCAGACATTAAAAAATTTAACTCTAATTTTCTCAGTAATACCACAGGTCAAACAATAATCTCAAAAGCTTACAAAAATTAGAACTCTTTCTCTCTTGGAATTTAGTCACATACTGTACATAAAAAAGAAAAACTGACTTCATCAGCAGATACATAATAACTGACAGCAAAGTCCAGATTTGACAATAGGCATAATTTAAAGTTTTACATGTCCAGCTAAGTCATTCCTCTAATCGGAGCACCAGACAAAGAAATGTTCAAGTATTTTTCTCAATTTTCTGTCTACATAAAATGCTATGATTTCAGAAAAAGAAATTCTCCAGTAAGATTTGCTATTCCTTTTGATTAAAAAGACTACTTTGTAGGGTTCCTGATAATATATTCTAGAACTGGCCATTCTCAAGGAAATGTTTCCCTAAGTGCTTTTTTTTTTTAATTGGGTTTAAATGAGAGAGACATATAGCATTATTCCCCAGTGTTTTTAGGTGAAATCATAAAAATAATTTATCCATTGTACTGTGCATGAGTTTATACATAAAACCCTTTCAGTTGTTCTTTTGTTATCATATTCACCTTCTCAAAAGATAAAGATGAAGAAGAAAAGGTAAAGTCTACTTTTAATTATATTGAAAAGTCACGAATATTTCCAGTGCCCAGTGGCTGCCAGATAAGCTGAGAAATGAGTGTATGTCCCCAATCAACCCCAAAATACCCTCTTCCTACATTTAAACTCCATAGCAACAGGGCCTGGATTAGCTTTGCTATTTTCCTCAAGCCCCGCATCTAATATAGTACTTGAAAAGTAGCAGGTGCTCAATAACTATTTGTTGAATGAATACATTTAAAAGGTACAGAATAAGTTAGAAGCTAGGGCTCTTCATGTATGATTATTCCTGTAAATAAATTCCTAATTCAACTTAGTTTCTATCAATAGGCAAGGTAAGACATAAGAAGGCTAAAATCAAACCTCAATGTTTCAATCAACAAATCTTTAGCGAGCACTTTCCATGTGCTAAGCACAGTCTAGAAGTCCCTGGTCTCATGCCCACTACTAGTTTACAGCCTAGAGAACAGACTGCAAGTGGCAAAATATGAAAAAATGAAGACAACTAAAGTTGAAATACAATAAAGATTATTTGTTCATTCTTCACACTCCTTAGTTAAACCTCACTCAGTTTCATGACTTAGCAGGGTAGATACCTCTGTTTTAGATACTTGTACTTTCAAGGATTTTTTCATACTATAGCCTAACTACAGGAATGTTAAAAAAAGTAACAATCACAGAAGGTATCAAAGAGATTCTTTTACATATCAACAACCAATCATAATCTGTCATTCTACCTCTTGGAATATACATATGTATCACACCCACACATACTCACATTCATCATGTACACACATGCAGGTATATTCTTATGCATTTCTTATGCATAAATAAGCACTGATATACAATGAAAAGGCAAAACTGATCTACCCTAGACCCTTGGAGCTGTGAAATTCTAATTCCATGATAATTTATAACAACTGCTTGAAAATTTTTAAGAACATGCTTAGCTAAAAAGTCTAAAAATTGATTTAGAAACACACCTATAGTAATGTTGCCAGATATAGGAAACTCAATTAAATTTGTATTTCAGTAAATCAGTTTTTTTAGTGTAAGCGTATCTAAAATTCAGATTTTACTGGGCATCCTATATTTATATTTGCTAAATCTGACAACACTAACCAAACACAACCATTTCTAATAAAGGAAAAAATAAATTAGTGGTACTTCCTGCTATGTCAAACAAGAATAACTAATTTATATGCAATACCAAAATTCAGAGTGAAAAATCACATAAATTAGTAGTTTCTGATCATCATTGTTCTTTTTTAAAAAATACCCTGTTTAAAAAAAACACCCTAAGATTTTAAAAATTCTAAGGAAAAAAGGTGAGTTTTTTAAAATCCATAGGCTATGTATTCCTCTGTAATAAATATGAAAATACAATTGAGACTAAATTTCTTCATGCATATAAATATTATGTACTCATTTATAACCTTAAGTAGTTATTGAGGCATAATGGCTACTAATTACAGAAGAAAGTATTAAATAAAAATGACTGATTAATAACAACTGTTTAGTTTAGTAACATGCCCTAATGATGTTCAGATATGGGAATTACCTCACAGGATTACTAGTCAAAGATACTCTTAGTGACTCCAGGCACGTGACAAGTCTCTCATCTGCAGGTCCCATTTTCAGTTCATGGATGAATTCCTGAGGTGAGATCTGACGATTTCTCTTAAGACTTCCCTGTAAAGTAGTCAAAAAAATTTTTTAATTCATACTGTCTGAAGATTATCCATTAAAATAACAATTACATTAACCCCACCTTTCATATTAACGGCTGGCTGCACACAACTACTCAGAGGAGTATTACTTTGAGAGGATGATTTCCTAACTTCTGCCCATAAATCCATAAATTCATAATCCATGGTATCCACAAAAGATAGTAACATAATCTCAAAAAGTTGGCAAACTAAAATAACTACTTTTCAAATCAAAAATATGAAAAACAAAGTGTATATCATAGAAAATATTTTAAAATATAGTAATATATTTTAGGCACACTCAAAAACCAAAACCCAATACAAGAACAACCCTATTAAAATGAATATCCCAGCCCTAGCCAGTTTGGCTCAGTCATTAGAGCGTCAGCCCTGGGACCAAAGGGTCCCGGGTTTGATTCCAGCCAAGAGCACGTACCTCTGTTGCAGGCTCGATCCTGAGTGCAGGAGGCAACCAATCGATGTCTGTCTCAGTCTCTCTCTGTCTCTGTCTCCCCCCCTCCCCACTATCTCTAAAAAGTAATGGAAAAAAATATCCTCGGGTGAGGATTTTTTTTTTTAAAATTTAAAAAAAAAAAAAAACACAAAATGCCTGAGACTTTACCCTACATACAAGCTAAGTTAGCCTGTTACTGTTTCATGGATGCTCACAGAAAACACAAGAGTCCTAACGGAGAGTCATAAAACTTTATTATGTATATATTGGTTCCCCAACCCACCACCTGCCACAAGGATGAGGCAGGGCCAATGATGGATGATGGATGCCTGCACATGCCGAGGATGTCATTATAGGAGAAGAACACTGAGCTGGGGGGATTCACCATTTTTATAGTGAATAGTAACAAGCCTGCTTATTACCCATAGACAAACATAACTTCACTTCTATAGCTACTCACTGCAAATGCAACCCTGAGAAATGGCATGGGTAAAGAGCATTCAAGCTTTGAATTCTTGGCATAACCAGAAAAAATATACAGTGATATTCAGGGCCCATGTCAGACTGCCTCTCCCAGTGAAAAATATCTCTCATAAAGGATTTTTATTCAGAATATTTAACAAACTCCTACAAATCAACAGTAATAGCACAAAGTCCAATTGCAAAAGAAGATATATGAATGGCGAATAATCACATGAAATGATGTTCACAATCATTTATCAACAAGGAAATGCAAATTAAAACAAGTAAAATAACTACACACTCCCTAGAATGGTGAGGGTGTGAAGCACCTGGAACTCATGTACATGACTGGTGGAGATACAACATGGTATTGCCACTCTGCAGAAAAGCTTTGACAGTTTCTTTTAAAACTAAATATACACTGACCATAGGACTCAGCAATTGCACAACTAGGTGTTAAGCAGGAAGGGAAAATAAATATATCTATACAATGTTCAGAACAGTTTTATTCATAATAGCCAAAGACTAGGAATAACCCAAGTATTCATCAACAAGTTTGGTTATATCCTTACAACAGAATACTACACAACAATAAAAAAAGTCACTACTCTTAATGTAACAAAATAAATGAATCCAAAAAAACTATGCTGAGTTAAAGAAGTCGAACAAAGAGTACATAGCGTATGGTTCCATTTATATAAAAAACCAAGACCAACCTGCCAATTTTTTCTCTAGGACCATTTTAGTTCAAGATATACAAGCAGAACTGTTAATTTTTGGTGTGTTTGGTTGGAGGATGGGGTTAAAAGTGGATAGCACTTTAAATGGAGTAGCCAGTAGATTTTTCAAATAAACACTGGGAAAAACAGACTAGGCTCACTAGCTAAAAATACTTCTTTATTTCAGTCATATTAAGTTTTTCTAGCTTGAACAATTTATTAGACAATAAACTGCCTAAAGGCCTCTGCATTTTCACTTGACATTCCTGCCTCTAAAGCCCTCCCCTCTCACCCAGACCATCACAGCTACAGATCCTTGCACAGGCCTACTCCTAGACATCAGTTAGAGCTGGGTAGAGACTAACTTCTCAGGACAGGCTTTTTAGGAGCCACACAAACTGAGTGCCCCTTGATAAATTCCTTTTCCAAAACACACCACTCTGTATTAAAATAACTTACATTTATTGTTTAAAGGATATATTGAACCCCTACTGTGTGACAGACCTTGTTTACATGATATGGATACAGGAGTAAAAAAAAAAAAAGTTAAAGATGACTCCTAGGTTTTTGATCTAAGCCAAAATGTGATGCCACCTACTTGAATGGGAAGATGGAAGGAGAGTGAGTAGTGATAGGGAACATAGCTATTTAAGTTACAAGGAACTTGTATTTGAGGAAATGACAGTTTTCTCTCTAAGAAAAAAACATTTGAGCGGAGACCAGAGTAAAGAGGAGGGGACACGGGAAATCTGGGAGAAGCAAACAGAAGAGCAAATACGAAGCCCTAAGGCAGGAATGAACTTAGTATAGTGAAAGTACAGCAAAAAGACCAATCTAAATCCCAGTGAGCATGACAGAATTACAGAGACAAGGACAGGCAAAACAGAAAGGCTTCTGATCCTGGAGACAGGATGGAAAAATTAGTCTGACTGCCAAATGTTTTTTATATGACTCTTGAGCTAAAAATGCTTTTTACATTTTTAAAAACTTGTAAAAAAAAAAAAAAAAAGGACAGGAGGTGCATGAGAAAAGGGGGTAGGAAGACAAAGCAGCAGCAACTGAGGCCTTATGGAGACCCAAAGCCTCAAATGTTTAGGATCTGGCAATTTACAAAAAATTTGTAAGCCACTGATATGGTCTGACAAACCACGGTAAGTACTTTACATTTCATTCTGAGCAAATGGAAAACTAGTGGAGGGTGCTGAGCACAGAAAAAATCCAATAAGCACTTTTTTTTTTAAATTATTCTAAGTCCTGTGTGGCAACAGACTGTAAGTGGCAAAACATGAAACAAGGAGGTAATTAGAAGGCTGTTTGGTCACGAGATGACAGGAGCCTGGTATAATATGCCAGTGGATGGAAGACAGGAGAGTTACTCAACATAAACGTGAATCAGACAAGATTTGCTGATAGTTTGGATGTGAGGTGTGAAATAAATTTAAAAATGATGCCAAAGCTCTTGGTCTCAACAACTGAATGACTGGTGTTACCATCGGAGAATCACTACGACCTTATCAATATTAGCTTGAGTTGTGGGTAGGGTGGAGATAAGCCTGATCAGAACTTTAAGGGGGAAAACAAGAACAAGAATGGACCACTCTTTTGAAGAGATTTTCTGTAAAGGGGAGCAAAGAACTGGGGCAGTGCTGTGGTCTGATTTGGGGGG